AAGGCCTGCATCTTGGGCCATAAAAATCCCTCTTTTTTTCACTAGCAACAAATTAACAAAAGCCAGATAATAAAATTATAGATTTTTTTTCCATAACTCTGTAGCAGATATTAAGTATTTCTTCTCTAATTATGACTTTCTGGAGTAGTTTCATAACCTGCATATGGAAAACACTTATGAAATCACTTAAAAGACAATTTAAACATAACATGGGTGTCCAACATTCCAAGTTGCAGAAGTGATGACATGTCTTGGTTGCTTTTTTTTCATTTGTTTCAATATTTTGATTCATAAATGTCAATGGTGCTAACTGAAGCTGAACGTATTTATTTGTTCCTAAAGGAGCCTCGGTGCAGTGGTTAGGAGCTCGGCTGCTAACCAAAAGGTTGGCAGTTCAAATCCACCAGTTGCTGCTTGGAAACCCAATGGGGCAGTTCTACTCCATCCTACAGGGTCGCTATGAGTCGAAATCTATTCGACGGCAACAGTTTTTTTTTTTTAAAGGAGCTTCCAACAATTTTAAACTACAACACAGTAAAGTGCTTCGAAGGAAAAAGATCCCTGAGTAATGTTACCAAATGGGTTAATGCAACAAGTGGATAAAGAAAGCCTTTAAAGGAACTGCATGCTGGAAGCACTCAGTACAAGAACAAATGGTCCTAACACTGCTCAGAAGGCCCCAACAGTAGTAGATCCCTGAGTACAAGTGGATAATTATGAGATCTCTGAGGCACTAAAAACATTAAATGATCAGTGTACTCTATTTTCAGAAGGCTAAGACATGGTTAATAAAGAAGCTGATCAAATTATGTTTTTAAAATGTTACTATACAGAGGAGATAAAAAAAAAATCACAGAAAATATACATCATTCATCGGCAATAAATATGCTGCCAAGAAAGTCACAGTTATTCCTCAAACCCTTGCAATCTCCTTTCCTGCTCCACTATTTCCCGAACCCTCTGGAGAGCCATTCACCAGAGTCTAGTTACCAAATCTGGTGGCCTCCTCGGTCTACTGCTCTTCAACCTCTCCCGAGTTTCTCTGAAATTGCTCAAACCTTGCAAGTATCTTTTCTGACTATCCTTCCACTTCCCAGCCCTTAAATATACCCAGCACCTAAGAAGACCATACTTCTTTATATATTTCCCTTCCTTGGCAAATTCATGGCTTCAGTTATGATCTCCCAATTTGCGTTTCCAGCCCTGACCTGTCTCCTATATTTTCAACCGCCTCTTGGTCATCCCGTAAGTACTCAAACTCAAAACAGCTAAACTCGAACTCTTCTACCCTCCAAAACTCACTCTTCCTTCCAAGTCTATTTCTTTAATTAGCATTAACATTCTTCCAGTGACCAGGCTGGAAATCTCCAAAGAAGCTACTAGCTCATTCTCCTTCACTGTCACCCTCATCTTACAGATCGCTGCTATCCTTCATCTCTCACACTGAGTTACTCTCACTTCTTCACACATAAGGAGCACTCTATCAGTCCTGTCTCTTGCTTTCCTTCCTCAGCTTATACCCCATGGTCAGCTACTTAGACAACCACTTTACAAATATCTCTGCCCTGCTCTCCTCCTGATACACCAACCTGAAACAGCATAACACGGACCAATCCAGCTGTCTCCTTTTGAGTCTACACTTGGGCTGCTGAACAAAACAAACATAATGGTAGATACTGCTTTTTAAATTCAAGGCCTCCAACCTAAGACAGGCAGAATATCCTAAATTACCCTAAACCAAAACCAAACCCACTGCTGTCAAGTCAATTCCAACTCATAGAGACCCTATGACAGAGCAGAACCGCACCACAGGGTTTCCAAGGAGCAGCTGGTGGATTCAAACTGCTGACCTTTTGGTTAACAGTCAAGCTCTTAACCACAGCACCACCAGGGCTCCGCTAAATTACCCTAGTCAGCTATATTCTCCAATTTCTATAGCAGCTATTTCAAATATTCCCCCTGCATCTTAAACCTTTAAGCTCATCTTACTTGTAGATGATACCAGCCCCTTCCTAAAAAAAAAAGAAAAAAAAAAAAGTTAGGAAAGACCTCAACTTCCTCTCACTAAACCAATAGTTTACACAGGCATATTTTTACTTCATTTCACACTATTACAATGCAACAGTGCTCTATAACTCTCATGACCTTACTTAACTGATTGTCTCTCTTTCTCCTAGCACTCAAATATGATCACGATCATATTTTTAAAAATACATACACATTACTTAAAAACTCTACTTCACTGTCATGACCATCTCTAACCACTGGAGCCAAATTTCTTAAGCACTGCTTATATTTACATTGCTATTTCAATCTCTTCACCCATACTTCCCACAGCCCCTTGCTATCTGGCTTCTGTTTTTAATACTCCCATTAAACTCCTGCACCAAGGTCATCAACAATCTCCCCACTGTGAAACCCAGCAGGATTTTAGTCTTTTATGCTGCTCAGCAGCATCTGACATTGCCGGCCACATTCTTCCGCCTGACACACCCTCTCCTCGGGTTCCTAAAAACACTGCACACTCCGGATTTTTCTCACAGCCTTTCGTGCCTTCTCAGGTTTCCCTTGCGGTCTCCTTTCCCCCACCAGTCCCTCATACAGGATTCTCCTCAGGACTTGTTATACACTCCCCGGGAAATCTCATCTGCCCTCATGGTACTAAAGACTTTCAAACACTTATCCTCGAGCTTTTTTCTGTGCTCCAGATGCACAGTCAACAGTCTATTAGACATCTCCATCTGGATGTCTCAAAGCTATCTCAAACTCTGCATGTCCAAAAATGAATTCTTCATCATCTCCCTCAATGCCCACCAAATCTGCTATCCCTGTGTTCCTCCACCTCAGGGACTGTATCACCATCCACTCAGGTATTCGAGTCAGCAACACAGACATCATTCCTGACTCTTTATCCTCCCACATCCACCCTACCACGAAATTCTGGAGATTCAATCTCTCATCTACCACAAATCCATTCTCTTCTTAGTTACCACCCTAACTCAGGCCAACATTATCTATAGTCTGGATTACTGTGTTTTCCTCAAGGGGAACCCTGCCTCTCATCCCCCTGTCCCCAACTGTTCACTCTGCAGCCAGATGATCCTCTGAAGTGAGTTCTTTCTGGGAAATTTGTCCAGCCCACAACTCACTGCACCCTTTTAACTATGACAGGGTGGGCTATGTTTATGGTATATGATTCTGTCCTCCTGGTCACAGCTGATTAGATCATGGGTAGACAACTGATTCGATGAGCCAATCAGATTCTATCCAGGGGACTGGAAGTGGCAGGAAAAACTCAGAGGCTATGGGTTAGCTATGTAGTCAGAAAAGCAGAGTATAGATAGAAAGAACAATAAAGTAGATACATGAGAGAAAAGCAAAGACAAGCGACAATATGGGTGAAAGAGAGATAAAAGAGAGCATGACCCACACCCATACTGACAGCCCTGTCTGGTTCCAGACCTTTGTGAGGTCCAGCTGCCCTTCCTACCCTTGGATATGCTGAACTTCTCTGTACCACTCTCTTTCTTTTTTGCTTAAGTTTCTTACTTATAAGTAAAACAACCTCAACTAAAACTGTCCTTCCAACATGCAAATTTGATCCTGAATCTCCCTTGCTTAAAATGGATGCTCGCAGGATAGAAAGCCCAAGCCTTTCTCTAGGATTGACAGGGCTCTGGATGATTTGGCTGCAGCTTCCTCTCTTACTAGCCTCCCTCTCTTACTAGCCTCCCTCTCCTATCCCATGATCTAGCCACAATAAACTTCTTTCACAGTTCCACCATGTACCACAATCTCTCTTACCTCCAGGGCAACACAGTTTCTTTTTGCCTGCAACACTGTTCTCCCCACTCACTCCCCCTAGTCAAGACCTAGTCATCTGTCAGGCTTCAAGTTCAGTCATCAGTGCACTCACTCTCAAGGTGCACTGGGCCTCCTCCATGGCAGCCTATGCATTACCCTGAATTGTGGGATTCTGAGTTCTCCACTGGACTAAAAGCTCTGTGACAGCAAAGAGCATGTGTTTTGTTCAAAGCTGAGGTCCTGTATTTGCACAGGAGACACCTGAACATTTATGAACAAATTAATCATCTGCCGAAACATGTTTGATTTTACTCTAACATCTTGATAAATTCCCTCTTTTCTATTTCCATAGACGGAGCAGTTCTACTCTGTAACGCACAGGGTCACCATGAGTTGGAATCAACTCAAAAGTAACTAACAACAACATCCTAGTTCAAGCTCATTGTTTCTTCTCTAAACTATTTTAATGATTTCTTAACTAATCTCTCTGCTTAATGTTACCCCATTCAAATCCATCCTACTATCTCCTATAGCAAGCAGGTATTCAAGAGATGTGAGTTTTTTTCCTCTGCTCAAAAATACTTCTAGAACAAAGTTCTTTCAACTGGACTACTTTTGATTTCTTAAACATATCAAACTTTTCTGCCTCTATGCCTTTGTTTCCCTTATGTGAAATGCTCTTCTCCAGCATCTCCAAGTGTTTAAATAAAAGCCATAATTTAAGGCCAGGAAATAAGTAACTCTTCATCTGAATTTTATCTGCACTTCTCATGACACTTAGTATTTTCTACGTTGTATCAAAAGGTATCTATATACTTAACTGTAAACTTCCAAGAAGTGGAGTCACATGTCAAGTTGCTTGGTTATGGAAAGATAAAACATGTAAAGCAATACAACACAAATGAAGAAGTGACAGTTATTAATGTTCCCAAACTATGAGTTCTCAAATATTTTTCATAATAATCGTGGTCACTTACAATTAATAAGGTTGTATTTGTCCACAATTTAGACTTTTCACATTCAGAATGCTTTCAGAATGCTTTCATTACCAAAGGTTGACACTGTGTCCCAGGTAATGATATCCCTTTAAACAATTAACTTTATTTTCTACTAACTAAAATGGTCTTAATTGCGAAGATGCACTAATAACCAAGGCATCTTAATCAACATTAAATTTTCCTTTGTATGTTTGGTACCTCAGATGGTCCTTGGTCCAACTCCTTCTAATCATTCAGCTGAATTTTCAAATCCTGAAAACAAAAATGAAATAACATTTGGTGATTATACAGCAGGCAGGATTCAAGAAAGCAAGATTATTTTCTGAAGTCAGGTATTAAATTGCAATGAAAAAGCTTTCCAAATATTCAAGCTGCTTCAGAATAATCAGTTGTTAATACTTAAGGTAAAAAGTTTATTTTTTAATACTATATGACAGTGTTTTCCAAACCGTAAGTCCCAACCCACTCATGGGCCATGAAATCAATCTAGTGGATTAAAATTTTTTATATGAAATAGAAGAGAATAGAGAATATAAGAATGCAGCTCATGTGGTAGGAATTAAGTATTTGTGAAACTTTTGTTTCCAACGTACATTCATCTACACACACAAAACACCTAAGTGGTACTGCAGCACAATAAAAGTTACTTCTTCCTATGAATCACAGTCAAAAAAGCCAAAATAGCAAGCAAATGCTATTTACAGGATATAAACCGATTGCTGTCGAGTTGACTTTGACCCATAGCGACCCTACAGGACAGAGCAGAACTCCCCCACAGGGTTTCCAAGGAGCAGCTGGTAGATTCGAACTGCTGACCTTTTTGTTAGCAGCTAAAAGCTTAACCACTGTGCCACCAGGGCTCCTTTACAGGATACAGGGAATTAAAATACATACAGAAAAATATTCTTTTTTTGAAATCTGTCCCATTTCCAACTAAAAAATGTTGCAAAAAATATTTAAATATATCTAGGATTCTCTTATTACAGGACTTTTATAGTCATTTCAAATCATAGTAAACAAACTAGATAAGTTGCATTCTAAAAGAACTCTCATTTTCTTCAATTTCTTGTGGACTTCAATCACCAAGGGAATTCTGCAAATTATTAAGTAGAACATGCTAGCTATTAAATGACAACATATTGTGACTTCTCAGTATTAAATCTGGAAGTGACTAAACAATACAGTATGCAATTAAAGTTTAGATGAAGTTGATTCAGCAAGATATAATTGTTATCCAATTGTCATACCACAATCATAACTTATCCAACATGCTCATTCTTGGACAACTAAAAGTTACTTCCTTATATATAAAAAAATCATTTGGGTATATAACTGTCAATAATAAAATGGCTAGGAATTCAATATGCTTAAAAAAAAAGGAAAACTTTACCAAAGATTTTTATAGAAAAATGAATAATTTTACTTTTCCCTCAGAAGACAGAATAAGAATCTCCCTAGTTTATTATCTGGATTAACAAGAGGTGGCAAAGCTTTGGAATTTCCATAGTAGGCAACACTGTGTAAACATGGTAATGATACTGTCAACACCTAATAATACAAAAAAAAAAAAAAAGAGAATAAAGATGCCAGTTTATATAGTATATATCTAGGCAACATGTAGGACAGTTTTATAAAGTGGCATGAGGAGTATAATTTACTCTTGGGCACAGGAGAATAACATTGTTTAGCTTAAACCTGAAGACATAAAATGACATCAATAGGTTCAGCACTGAATATTTTTCATTTTAAGAGTTGTGAAGGTACAATCTCAAGTCTCAACTTAAAAAAACTTTGAAGGATATGTACATAATGACTGTTTTCTGATACAGTGAAAAAGGACAAAGACTACAGAGCCAAGAAAATTGGTAGCATACTCATAAAGAAATCAAACTCTCCTTTTAAATGATTTTTTAATTGTTTGTTTTACTTTATTTCAGACTTGTTTCATTAAGAACACTAAATAGACCAGATTTCCTGTTCTACACTGCTTGGACTTTTTGAGGCAACACCACCATCTTTTTATCATTATTATTATTATTTATTGCTTATTATTTATTCTTTATTGTTGTAGGTGAAAGTTTACAGTGCAATTTAGTTTCCCATTCAAAAATTTGTACAGAAATTGCTGTGACACTGGTTGCAATCCCCACAATGTGTCAGCACTCTCCCCCTCTCCCTTTACATTCCCGGATCCCTGTGTTCATTCATCCAGATTTCCTGTCCCTTCCTGCCTTCTCATCTTTGCTTTTGGACATTTGGTCTCATTTGCCCATTTGGTCTCATACACTTGATTGAACTAAGAAGCACATGCCTCACATGTGTTATTATTTGTTTTAGAGGCCTGTCTAACCTTTGGCTGAAAGACGGACTTTGGGAGAGGCTTCAATTCTGAGTTAGCAGGGTATCCGGGGGCCACAGTCTTGGGAGTTCCTCCAGTATCTGTCAGGCCAGTAAGTCAGGTCTGTTTTTGTGAATCTGAATTTTGTTCTACAGTTTCTCCTGCTCTGTTTGGAACCCTCTATTGTGATCCCTGTCACAGCAGTCAGTGGTGGCAGTCTGGAACCATCTACTTCTTTTGGGCTCAGGCTAGTGGAGGCTGTGGTTTATGTGGTCCATTAGTCCTCCGGACTGATATTTTCCTTGTGTCTTGGGTTTTCTTCATTCTCCTTAGCTCCGAACATCTTGGGACCAATAGATGTATTTTAGATTGCTGCTCACAAGCTTTTAAGACCCCAGATGCTACTCGCCAAAGAAAAGACGTAGAATATTTTCTTCATGAACTATGTTATTCCAATTGACCTAAATGTTCTCCAAAACCATGGTCCCCAGCCCTTAGCCCCAGTAACTCGGTCCTTCAAGGTGTCTCAGTGTGTCTAGGAAGCATCTATGGCTTTGCTTAGGTCAAGTTGGGCTGATCTCCCCTATACTGTGTGTTGTCTTTGCTTTCATCAAAGTCAACAACTGTCTATTATCTAGTTAGTGCAAAACCACCATCTTTTTAAGAGACTTTCAAGGCTGCCCGGAAAGAATGAAGGCTTTCAAGCAAGTCTGATATGGATCCACAAAGCAGATTTGATATGGATCCGTATTTTGCCTCTTCACTTACTAGTTGTTTGACCCTGGGCAACTTGATTCCTCAGTTTCTTCACCTGTGAAATGGAGACATTTTTACTTGTTTTCTTAGGCTGGGTTCTCTAGAGAAACAAAACCAGTAAAGAGTATAAATACACATATATACAGAGAGAGAGAGATTTATATCAAGGAAATGGGGCACGTGCTTGTAGAGGCTGGAACATCCCAAGTCCATGGGTCAGGATAGAGGCTTCTCCTGATTCATATAGCCGCAGGGGCTGGTGAACCCAAGATGGGCAGGTCAGAGACCAGGGCTCTTGTCACAGGCTGCAGAGATTGATGAATCCCCAAATCAGCAGGTAAGACCTCAGGTAAGCTACTAACTCAGGTCCCAAGAACCGGACATCAAACAAACAGTAGCCAGCTGCAGGATCCAGAGCGAGCAAAAAGTCCAGAGCCTTGCCAGAATATCTGCTTATATTTGATGGAGACCACACGCCCAAGGAAACTCCCTTTCAACTGACTGGCTACTCACAGCAGATGCCATCATGGGGATGATCACATATCAAATCTCAACAGGGAAGTGATCACAACATCATACGACTGCCAAAACACTGAGAATCATGGCCCAGCCATGTTGATACAACTCAATCCATAACATTCCACCCTTTGGCCGCCCCCAAATTCATGTCCTTGCCACACATAAAACATATTCACCCCATCATATCATAGCAAAAGTCTTAATTCAACTCCAAGGCCAAAATCCAAAAATTCCTCTTCATCTGTGATATCTAGAATACAAGTTATCTGCTTCCCAAGTACAGTGGCAGAACAGGCACAAGGCAAACATTTCTATTAAAATTTGAGAATTTGAAGGGAAAAAAGACATAACAGGCACCAAGCAAGTCAGCAGAACACATTACATTAGCCTTCAAGGCTTGAAAATAATCCTCTTTTCTCTGAGACTATTTACACAATGGCCCTGCCCCCCAGACTCTAGGTATTTGCCACACTCCCTGGACTCTGAGTGGAGGCCCCTCGGCTCTGGGCTTCAGCTTTGTCTTCCAGGTCCACTGAAACAGCAACTCTGCTCCCTTGGCTTTGGGCGGTCCCATTCTCCTAGCCTATCTGAGTGGCGACTTCATCCTTTGAGACTCCAGAAGTTGTGCCCATACCCTTTGAGACTGAGGCAGCTCTGCTTCCTGTGCTCCTTGTCTCTTCATATTCTGCTCCCTGGTTTCTTGGCCCCTTGGACCCTCAGGCCTCATCGCCCACGTCTGCCCTACTGGGGCAAGTGTTCCAAAGTAGCTCCACTGATAAGTGCCTGGAGGCACCCCATTCCGCCAGTAAACTTCGGCCAAAATGCACTCAGCTCTCTTGCTCCATGTGTTGGCAAGCCTAGCTTCACTGTTAAGTGCTCAGAGGTACCCCACTCCACCAGGAAGCCTCCTGCACAAAGGCACTTAGCTCTCTTGCTCTGTGAGTCAGCTCCAGTGCTATCTCTCGACGGTCTCCTGGTTCTGCTGCTGCAATCTGTCTGCTGCTGCTTCCCGCCGTCTGCATCATCTCCAGTATTAACAGCTGTTCTCATTTCCTTCTGAGTCCTCTATCCATTCACAGTTTCAAAACCACTTCCACACTTTAGGTATCTGTTACAGCAGCACCCCATTCTCTTGGTACAACTCTGTCTTAGTCATTCAGGGTTACTATAACAGAAATATCACAAGTGGATGGCTTTAACAAAGAGAAATTTATTTTCTCACAGTCTAGGGGCCTAGAAGTCCTAATTCAGGGTGCCAGCTCAAGGGGAAGGCTTTCTCTCTCATCATCTCTGGGTGAAGGTCTTTGTCATCAATCTTCCTCTAGTTGAGGAGCTTCTCAGCGCAAGGATCCCAGGTCCAAAGGACACGCTATGCTGCTGGTGCTTCCTTCTTGGTGGTAGGAGGTCCCCCTGCGTCTCTGCTCACTTATCTCTTTCATATCTCAAAAGAGATTGGCTTAAGACACTCTCTAATTCTGTAAATTCAGTCCTGCCTCATTAACATAACTGCCGCTAATCCTATCTCATTAACATCATAGAGACAGGATTTACAACAAAGGAAAACCACATCAAATGACAAAATGGTGGACAATCACACAATACCGGGAATCATGGCCTTATTGATACACATATTTTTGGG